CTTGTTTCTTCCTCCGAAACGAAGTTGACACTTTTCCTCCATCATCTGCATTGTGGTATGGTTTCTTGCTTTTGGAGGTTACTGTCTTGTCAACCATATCCCTTACCTCAACATACATTGCCTCTATAAACACGAAGAGTTAAGTCGCTCCCACAGCAGAACTACCTGAGACGGTAGGGAGAATACTTAATTTGAGTACAGTTTGGACTGGCTGTCTTCTCGCCTTCTTCAAACGTCCTCCGCGCTTCGAAGAAACGTCCCTGCAGATTCTTCCATGTCGTCCGCTGGTAGTGTGGAGCTGGCCCTCGCGCTGCAGGAGGTCTATGAGGAGGTACAGGAGTAAGGCTGGATTCTTAGACTTCAAGTTCAGCTTGGTGTGCCATCCCTCCACGTCAATATCAGCACCAACCACCGTTCACAAATCTTACCTTGAGCCGAGCTGCTGAGCATGCTTCCTGCTAGACAATTTTGGTCCAGTGGAAGGCATAACCCTTGATGGGGAGCGCCCTCCACATGCCCTCTTCAAAGTCCACCTCACACTCCGCCACGTTGTGAGTTGGAAGTCGCGCATCCAGATGGGTCAAGACTGCCGTGTAGTCCTGCTTCTTCCTGCGAGACATGAGGGCGAAGAACAGGGGAACCTACAGGAGATGCGAGAGGGGCGTCCGGCACCGACAGCACGCGACTCAGCTCCCAGACCTTGTTGTCCTGGTAGTTCACCAGGTCGAGCTTGTAGCTCTTCCAAGCCTCACGCACCTACAGACAGACGGACAAACAGACATTGTCACACACATCACGTACCTGCAGACAGTCAGATAAAAGGTTAGCAAACATTTTCGTAAATGTGATATGAAACCAAGCGCTGATTGCCCACAAGAGAGCATCATTGAAGATAGCACACATAAAAATGTTGATGTGCTCCTTGACCTTGTTGAAGAGGTTGTCCCAGCCGCGGATAAGCCGGCACTTATCCTGGTAGTTTACCAGGTCGAGGTTGTAGGTCTGCCAGGCCTCACGCACCTACAAACAAACAAACAAACAAACAAACAAACAGACATTGTCACACACATCACGTACCTGCAGACAGTCAGATAAAAGGTTAGCAAACATTTTCGTAAATGTGATATGAAACCAAGCGCTGATTGCCCACAAGAGAGCATCATTGAAGATAGCACAACATTAAAAATGTTGATGTGCTCCTTGACCTTGTTGAAGAGGTCGTCCCAGCCGCGGATAAGCCGGCACTTATCCTGGTAGTTTACCAGGTCGAGGTTGTAGGTCTGCCAGGCCTCACGCACCTACAAACAAACAAACAGACAAACAAACAGACATTGTCACACACATCACGTACCTGCAGACAGTCAGATAAAAGGTTAGCAAACATTTTCGTAAATGTGATATGAAACCAAGCGCTGATTGCCCACAAGAGAGCATCATTGAAGATAGCACAACATTAAAAATGTTGATGTGCTCCTTGACCTTGTTGAAGAGGTCGTCCCAGCCGCGGATAAGCCGGCACTTATCCTGGTAGTTTACCAGGTCGAGGTTGTAGGTCTGCCAGGCCTCACGCACACTGCCTCGGAATAATCTCGTACTGTCCCACACACGCGTCTGAAAAAAGTAATATATATATATATATATATATATATACACTGAGTGAGCAACACGCAAACTATATTTACTTTGACCTGCATTACTTTGAATCGTCGGTACGGCTTTTAATGCATTGCCTTTATTTGTCCCAAAGACTACATTTCAAAAGTACAAAAAACTACACACAGATCGTACGATTCCTCATCTCCCCCGCGTTGTTGCAGCTTCATCAAAGTCGAAACTGCCAACGTCTGGTCCGTCAATGCTGGTTGTCAGCAGTTGGTGGAGCGTCTCGTTCTTTAAGCTGCTGCGCAGACGAGTCTTGACCCTCTTCAGGGTGCTAAAGGCTCGCTCACTGTCAGCAGTACTGACTGGGATCACCATCAGCACTGACTCCAACATCTTCCATGCTGGGATACAGCTCGGCCACGGTGGCATCTGTCAGGAGGAGTTTGACCAGCTGCTCCTGAGGCAAGTGGCGGTTCTTCGCAATGTACTCACGCAGACCCCACCACTCCTCACAGAGAGCATCCGAGTCAACAATCAACCACCCCCCCCCCCGACCTTCACCACCATAATGTGCCGCAAGGCACTGCACCCGTGTACAGCCATACTCCTCAGGCATGGGCTGGGGCATCATGGATGGGTCCAGTACTGCAAAGTTAGACAGCAGCTCGGTAGAATAAAATCGCTCCTTCAGATTCGTCAACAGCTGGTCGATGAAGGGTTCGATCCCTACTTTCAATTCCTCAGTGTTTAACTTTTATCAAGCTCAATGACTTTCACACACACAAAAGACACATATTATATGGATACATGGTCAATAGCTCACCTCAGATGCCTGTTGCTTTCCGCCTGTATTTGGTCTTGATGTCAAACATCACCTCTGCAAAAATTGTGACAGAAGGTCATTATAAATGGTATATATTTGTTTAGTTAACTGAAGGTTGGATAAAAACTATTTGCAATGCTGGACATTATTAGCAAGAGACACGACCAATCTGTGTATTTTTTTACATGCCAACAATTCTTCATTGTGAACAAGATTATTTATTGTGGGCATATATCTTTTTTTTTATTTTACATTTTATCTTACTACACAATGAAAAAAAATTAAACACATAGTGGTGACGCACTCAGCAGAATTTTTATATTCACGTCACCACCTTATTCCCTGGTAATATTCTAATTCTAATAATAATATAATAATAATAGTATAGCGTGTGTCGAATCTTCTCTCGAGTTTTTGTTGCTGTACATTGTCGGTTCAAGCTCTTATCTGTTGTGTTTGTTGTCTGTGCTCATTGTCACTTCTGTGGGGGGGGGGCAGTTTTCCCTAAAAGCCAGAATAGTTGGTACTTGTGCCAACTCGTTAGAAAATTTTTTTTTTTTACATTTTCAAAATCCCAACACAGCGTGTACTAAAACCTCACACAATTTCCGTGCACCAGAAATATCTGACGCTCAACAGAGAAGCGCGGCACGGAACCACGTGGGATACACTGGACGAAATAGGTACGGATACACCCATATCCAGGCCGTTATTTCGCCGCATCCTACAAGGATACAGGCAAATACCGGCAGATACGGTTCGCATTTGTTACGGATCCGAAATTTCGCATCCCTGAATCCGGACTGTTTTGGATGCGGACAAATCCGAAAATCGTATTTTTCGCAGATGCGATGGCGGCTTTTCTAGGAAACTTTTTGCATCCTTTAGGTGAACCACGCTAAAACGTCGGAATTTTGTTGGATCCTAACCAAATCCGGCCGCTGATTCCCTGTATTTACGACGCATACGTGTGGACGATATTCGAATTTTCCAGATTCCAACAAATCCGATACATGAATCCGTCCGTATTTGCTGCGAATGTGCAGATACGAAATAAGGATTTTCCCGTATCCCTCACGAATCCGAAACCTGAATCCCCCCGTATTTGCTGCGAATGTGCAGATACGAAATCAGGATTTTCCCGTATCCCTCACGAATCCAAAACCTGAATCCCCCCGTATTTGCTGCGAATGTGCAGATACGAAATCAGGATTTTGGCGTATCCTACACAAATCCGAAACCTGAATTCTCCCGTATTTGTTACGAACATGCAGATACGAAATCAGGATTTTCGCGTATCCTACACAAATCCGAAACCTGAATTCTCCCGTATTTGTTACGAATATGCAGATACGAAATCAGGATTTTCGCGTATTCTACACAAATCCGAGGCTGAATTCTCCTGTATTTGACACGGATGCGAAGATTCGTCAGTTGCACACATGAATTTGTTTTTAATGCTATAAAATAGACGGACATCAGCATGCCTATTTCCACACATTACATCTACTTTACATCACTACTGTTCTGCATCATAACTAACTCTAACTTACATCTTTGCAAGCACAAAAAAGAAGCCTCTTATGGTAAACAAAAATCATACTATTCCTAGCAATGCATTATGATTAAGGTTACAATTACAACACTTGAATTCTCCACTATCTTCATCTCCACTATCTAAAGAAGCAGCTTCACTTTCACTATCTAAACTGTCCTTCTCACTGGGACTCTCTTCATCCCTTTCAACCCTAAGTCCTAAGTGTTTCTCCTCAGTCTCTTGCTAGTGCTCCACTTCAGTATCTTGCTCCTGTTCAGTCTCTTGCTGGTGCTCCTGTTCAGTCCCCTCATGTCTTCAGATGCGCCCTCCTCACGTTTGGTGGAGACCTTGAACATGGTTCTTTAGTGCGAACACGCCCGGTTCTTTTCTTCTCATCCAGGAACCTTTAGTCATCGGCGGTTAGGACTCCCGGTCCTGCCAACTGCCTCGTCTTCAATAACTGCAAAAAAATACACATTGTATTACTATTAGATTCTTCACACACAGGTTTCAACTCAATGAAAAGCTTGATATATTTCTTGAATACTAGTACTTAGTATATACGGGTGACATACGGATCCCCGCAAATGCGACTACAGTATTTTCGCCTGTTTCCAAAAAGGGCTGTTACCACCAAGGAGAATGGGTCCAGGAGAATGTCCTTGTTACCACTGATTAGACCACAAGTTTGAAACGATTGGGCAAACACAGACGTAAAAGTCGAAGCCAAAATTTAAAGTTGCATTGCAATGCGGAATACAAAAAAAAGTTTGGTAGTAAAGTACTTTTGGGAAGGAAGGCTATCATATAAAATATTCTGAATAACAATACAGTCCACAGATGGCCGGGCATAATTAATGGGGGTAGCCCATGCACAGCAGGGTAAGATGCCACAAGCTGGTACAAGGAATATGGGGAAGTGTAAAAAAACAGACTACCCAGGAGAAACTAGTGAAATAAGCTACTAGTATCCGAACACAAAATCGATGTTTTAGTAGGTACAGAAAATTTGGGGGTACAGGGAAAGCGAAACCTTATGGCGTTACGAAAGTACTAGTAGTTGGGCAAAGTCAACTAGTTCGAACAAATTTTGTTGGAGAACAGGGTACGCTTAGCAGTTTACTATAAAACAAAGACCAAATTATATCTACAAATATTATTTTGCACCTTTGAATACACTGGAACTAGTGTTTGAGTGGGGGTGTTTGAGAATCAGAAACTTGAGACTGCTCACAGAACTGACCCTTCGTTACACATATCGGGTGGTTTCTAAGAATTTGAAATTATCTTACCCCCAGATGTCCTTCTTTGACGGTGCAGCGTTGTAGCGGCCCGACGGAGTGGCCCGGCGTTTCCTCTTTTGAAATACTCTTAACTCTTGCTGCTGTTGGAACTTTCACACAGCGCGGACCGGTCAGTTGACAGCGGTGTTCGTAGGAAGAACTGCTAGGAGCGGTTGACTAGGAGCAAACTGAGATTACAGCTTGACTAACGGTCAGGCGACTGACAGAGAGCATAGCCCCCATGGGGTGTCATGCGGCTCGTGCTGATTGGTCGACCGGCATGATGACGGGTACAACAGGCGCCACGGGCTATGTGTGACGGCCTTTGACATTCGCCGTCCATATAGTAGTTGGCACATTGGCATAATTTGTCACTGTCGGCGCCTTTTGTCTTATTTTCTCTCTATTCTTCAAGCTTTTCGCACCAAGACGCGGAGGAAAACTTGCTTTGCCTTTGCGTAATTCTTTTTGTGTTATACAACCGACTGTCAGACTAGTTCCCACTTCGCAGCGTCACTGTCTGCACGGTTTGTCCATATTTTCATGGCGGTACTTCCGTGATAGTTTCACCCTCTTCTAGTCTTTCGGCGGCCGCCGAGGCGCAGAAGGGAACTCGCTATACATTCTGATCCTTTGAGTTACTGGATTTTCCACTTTGCGACGCCACTGTCTGCCTTTTGTGGTTTGAGGAATGTTTTGCGATATTTACCAATATTGCATTTTTACGCCAAAATGAGATGAATACCTGATGTTTAGACTTCATTTCGAAACCTACAAAGTTGATTTTGAGGAAGATTGGTCAATGTTTTTGCGGTAATGGACATATCATTTTTATGCAAGAAATGCTTTGTCTCCTATTACAAGCAAACTGACTAATCTAAACAAACGAGATGGGACACATTCACAGAAATATGAAGCCTTTGAATCAATTTTGAATTAGTCAACTGCACACTGTCACGGATGCAGGAAGATTCCGAACAAATGCAAACAAATTCCAGATCCCTAAAGGATACATGAAAATACCCCAAGGATGTGACACCGCATCTGCCGGTCCACTCTTGTACAGAAATGGCTTTTTTGTGTCACTCGACAAAATTGAGTCGTTCCAATGAATGAGATGAATACCTAATCTCGAGACATGTTTTTTTTTCATTTTCGTGAAAAAAATCCTTTAAGGACCATATTCATTGAAAATTGAAAAAAAAAAATTGGATGCAGGGCAGGGTCAGATTAATT